CACTTCAAAGCGTCCCCATTACGCGTGCGTGAGACCAATCGTGTTATCGCTGGGAACGGTTGCTGCGGGTGGTGACACGTCAACCGACGCCATGACGGTGCACGGCAATCCTGCAACCGCAGGTTTACAATGGCAGGCACCCATCAAGCATGCAAATTGGCTCTTTGGCGGCAATTGCGACAGCGTGTCTACATTACAGTGGCATGTACCTTTCCTGTAGGTGACCATAAAGGAATAATGTTGTAAAATTTCCAACCAGCGGGAGAACTGGCCGGACGGCTGGTCAACCCGCAGCGCATATTGAAGAGCTGCGTGATCTGTGCATACAACAAACTGTCTACCGTAAAGGTACGGATGGTACTGTTGTACGAAATTTACAATAGCCAATAATTCGTGGCGCATCAAACAATAACGCTTCTCTGCGGGGGACAATACACGGCTCCCGTAAGCAACGACCCTCTCTATCCCGTTCACCACCTGTGATAGCACAGCGCTGATTCCGGTCTCACTGGCGTCTGTGTCTAGCACAAACGGTAAAGAAAAATCAGGGTATCCTCCTCCTCCCCCTACCGAAATCTTTGGCCTTTTTTGGTGATAGCGTGGAGCGGTTTTTCGATTGTTGCAAACTTGGGCACAAAGCGGCGGTAATATGATGCGAACCCGACAAAACTGCGAACTTCACCCACCGACGTGGGGGTTGGCCATGTGTGCACACACGCAGTTTTGTCAGGGTCCGTGGCTATCCTGGACTCACTGACAATGTGACCCAAGTAGCGAACCGATGTCTGCAAGAGATGACACTTCTGTGGTTTAAACTTAAGATTGGCCGCCCGCACTTTGACAAACACCTGGAACGTGCGTCCGAAGACGATCACATTGTCCAACCACGAGTCCCATTGGAGGCCTGCTAAAACCAGCTCCATAAGTCGCTGGAACGTAGCCGGAGCTGAGTGGAGTCCCATCGGGAGACAATTCAACTGAAACAGACCTTGAGGTGTTCGGAACGCGGTTTTTGGTTTGGAGCTCTGATCTAGAGGAAACTGCCAAAACCCTGACAACAAGTCGAGGGTGGGGAAAAACCGCGCACCTGACAGGGCGTCCAATGAATTGTCCATCCGTGCCACGGAGGCTTTGTTCAATTTGCGGAAATCTACGCAAAACCACAGACTCCCATCTCACGTTTTAACAAGAACAATGGGAGCTCCCCACGGACTGGTGGAAGGGGAAATGATATCAGCGGCCAACATCTCGTCGACCGCCAGGTGAACTTTGTCCTTCTCCTTGGGACTGAGTCTGTATGAATTCTGGCGTATAGGAACAGCGTTACCCATATTAATGTGGTGCTGCATCAGGGATGTGCGGCCAATGTCGTATTTACTCTGATTAAAAATGTCCTAAAATTCCCGGAACAGTGCACACAACTCGCCCCGCTGCTCGCCAGATAAATCAGAATTCTCGGAATACAGCACATCCATCCAAGACTCATCTGGCTCGCCTTCCCGCTCCACCATGGCCACGACCTCTGTGGTCACATCGCCGGCCTCCCCGCAACATGCGGCCATCGCGTAGGCCAGAACCATACCTGCCTGGATAACCGCAGCACCCAGGCCGACTATCAACATCTGCAGGAAGGGTACTATCTTCTGGGCCCCCACCAGCGCGAGACCTCGAACCGCTCTGTTTGAAGGGGTTAAAAGAATCCCTCCCGCGGTGTCTTTGTGATCAAGCTGCTTCCGCAGCCGCAAGGCCACCAGCATCTGAGCACCGGGAGGGACCGTGATGGTCTCCCTCACGAGGGCCTGAACTGTGGCGTTGGCCCTTCGCAAGCGAGTCGGGGATGTTAAAAATGCCAATCAACGCCCCGGCGGTAGCTCAATACACCCCTGGTCCACCAGAATCTTAAGGGGCATCCTTCCCAGAAAATCAGTCCCCAACAGACAAGGCACAGCCAACGTCTTTGAGACTAACACTGGGCCCATCAATTCAATATCCCCGATACATACTGTGGCCAATATTTGTCCCACAATACCCAAACTCCCACCATTAGCGGAAACACACGACCTACCCACCGGACTAAGACAACACTATTTCGATGGCAAAGAGCTATAAATAAATTCCAAAATAATGCTAGCGGATGCTCCTGTGTCGACACCTTGTACAAATACAACAACCGTGGATAATCCCGCCGCCGCCACGATACGGTGCGCCAACGCGGTCCACTGCCCCGGACCCCGCGGCCATCCGCCACCCGCCAAAGTGCGACATTCCCACGCCGCGACACGACGAGAAGTAGCGGTGTGTGAACACGACATGGTCTGAGATGAAGATGCGTGAAGTGACTGTGTCGGCCGGGTATGTAATGCATCGCGACTTGCCTTTGGGCCCAGAGAAGCGGAGGTCGGCAGGGCTGAAGACGGCAAAGGCGGGGAGAATGGTCCAGGATCAGCATGGCATCCTTTGGAGATGTAGCCCTGCAGGCCACATTTAAAACAAGTGACGGGGGACCTCCACGGTGGAGAAGGGGGGTCCTGCTCTGCCGTTCCCTCTACCGTCGCCATCCTGCACCGACTCTCCCGTGTGGACTCCAGACGAGCGAAGCGCAGGCTTGAGCAGGCTCCTGACGCTCCAGTTCATCCTCCTCCGAAAATACCGTGCAGGCGGCCATCCCGGTTCGCCGTTGCAGGTTGAAGTGGGCCTGGATGCAACGGGCTACCTTAAGCGAAGTCAGGTCATCTTCCTCCGTGGCAGGTAGCCAGCGACAGCAGTCTCTCCAGCACCAGGGAGGCCAGCGCTGCCTCCTCCATCTTCAGATATGCAGCGTGGGCCAGTGACAGCAGCGTGCTGCGAAAGGCGAGGGGCGTTTTGGTCTCCCCCTGTCTTCGCATCACGAACTTCCGCCACGCGTTGCTTGAGGCAGTGTCGCCCTGTCCGCTGGGTGAATGGCATCGAACGCCACCAAGGCATTGTCGTCCAGGGTGGTGGGAAGAGCCCGCAGCGCCTCCGCGTCGGACCATCCCGCGAGGGCGCAAGTAGCAACGAACCAGCGCTGGAAGGCTGTCCAGTCGCCCCCCGCAACCACAAACTCCTTCACGAATGGCAGCCGCTTCTTGAGGGAAAGCACCTCCGGACGGGACGCTGACGGCAGGTCGAATTTGGCGGGAATCGATTCCTGCCCAATTGACAAAATGGCGGCCGAATTTGGCGCCCCGCTCCCGGACGGTAAAATTTGTGGCCGCTTTCCACGCATGCTGTAAAGCTGCCCGCTCGATGCGCTTCTTCCTCTGACACCTCCACTCCAAAATGCGCAACCAGCTCCTCCACCACGGAAAGCAAAGCGTTGCATGCGCGCCATCCTTCTCCAGTCGGCGGCAGCGAGGAGTCGCCGTCCCTCGCACGCTGCTCTGCCGGGATCGCCTCTTCAGGACCAATCTCCGGGGTCCTGGATTTCAGGGCCGTCAGGGGAATCACTTCGCCGTCATCCTCTTCGCCCAAGGACCCAACGGTAGGAGCCTTCTTCTTTGTTAACTTTGACATTTTATACATTTTAAAAAATTACATATATATGTAAAAAAATATATTTAACACTTCCGACTCCAAATGTAGTGAGTCACGCAGAGACACTAGTAGTAGGAGGCACTCTATTATAGCCTTCACAGGTACAAGGAGTAACTACACTATGGTCAGGACAGCTAACAGGCTGCCTGACTAACAACGCCGAGGAGGTGAAGACGGTGACGAAGACTCCAGCAGCATGACGGGTTCCACTCCAAACAACAGCCCCGAACCTTCGCTCGGGGTCCCCTTTTATCCACCCAGCGCGGCCTTGCTCCGCCTTCGGCCACGCCCCCCTTCTAGAACCCACTAGAAGGTTTCCGGGCTTTACCTCACATACCCCCTCTATCACCTTTGCCCCACATCCCTTTCTCCGGCTTATCACATGACCTGCTGGCAGACAGGGCTGCTACAACCGCGGATCCCCTTCTCTGCCAGCAACCCGTGCTATGCACCATAGTGACCCATTCCATGTCACTACTCATGCACTCTGCTATTTTCATAGGTTTCCTGTGCTTGCCATGGAAAGTGTGAAGTTACTGCTCTTCTTCATTTCTTCTAGACTCTGTACTTTTCTGAGACCGATTGACCACTCCAGTGTAATAGAGATCACCCGATCCTCAATTCGTTAACGTTACTTGCAGCTCTGCCAGACATCCTTCTGCTTAAAAGGCACAAAAAGTTGGTTTGCTAAACCCTAGGCACTGTTTACGTGAAAACAGGCAGGAAATCTGTTGAGATGCTCTGAGAGCCCCTTCGACCAGCATTTGGTAGCTCCATTGAAGAGCCGATGATCTGGCGGTGTGCCAGGCTTGCTGGCAACATGCCCATAGCTGCCCTCACAGGAAACACTATATTACGGTTTGCGTGACAGTGTTGTAGCAAGTGCCCCTCCCCTCACACTCCACCCACAACCCATCGCAATGTCCCCTTACACCTTGCTCCCAAACTAAAAGTAGGAAAATGTGCAGGACTTCTACTTTATCCAGCAGGCAGGCAGGAAGCTGCCTGGTACTAGCAGTGATTTGTGCGGCTGCAATTCAGATCTTCTATGATTTCACGTGATTGATACCTTATTACCTGTCACCTCGGGTTAGCAGGAGTTAAAATACATATTTAATGGGCTTGTCGTGTAACTGAGTCGGCGTGTTTCGAAATGCTCATGCCGCTGCATGTTTGTGTGTGCAGTGCATACGTGCTTCTGCAGCGTACACAGAAATAACAAAAGATAACATTTCCCTGCCCGACGCATGTCCACTCACATAATTCACGGCCAAGTTATTTGACCTTGCCAAGGGAAGGGCGCCACTGAAAGATTTGTTTTCCATGTGTATACGACGTGCATCCTTGTGCATAGTTGCATGTAAACCTGTTGGCTGCAAATACACGATTGGTTACTCGTTGGTTCAAACAGCCTGTTGAGTGAAAGCATGTGAATTGTCGCTTAGATCTGGGTTTGTTTGGGAGCTGTTTGGAGACAAAGCATCCGGCAGAGGGGAGACCCTGGGGCCATCCCAACGCAAGCCCACCCTCCTCTCTCAATTCAAGGTACACAGCAGAAAAGTGCATGCACACATCCGTCCTCGTACACACGTGTATGCAAACAATAAATCATAAAACTTGCACTCCGTTCCCATTTACAATAACCGGACAGTATTAGCATGCACAACAACTCACAAAATGCAAAAAATGTAACTGTAAATAAAAAAAAATCCTCGCTGTTTTCGACGCTTAAAACATTTGGCCCTCTATTACAGTATGTAACGGTCACCTCAAAGTCTCCACAGACACGAACAAACCACTTGTACAGTTATATAACCACAGGCCTGCCTTTTCATCTCTAAAGTGGCAGTGGTGTCTGTTACATGGACTGGTATGGTCTGTTGCATACCAGTAGGCACTTGCACCCGCCATCAGTGCAGGCACGCACACACTAATAATGTCCACTTATGCAACAGTGAGACGCGTCATTGGCTGCCTAGTGGATAGAACACTGTCACAAGTCCACCCTGATTAATATGGTGGGTATGTAAATCATCTGTCAGTGGACACTAGCGATTCCGTGATGTCAGTCGAAAGAGTAGGTCATTGTGTGCTGGCATCATGGTCCAAATGTTACAAATTTGAAAAAATACCTGAAAATTACTCAATTGGAATATACATAACAATCATCACCACCCTCCTGGAAAATAGTCATGAGGCTCAGAGAGGTTTTCCTAGGTAAACAAGCATAACAATAAAACAAAAATATTACTGTTTTTAATTCATACGATAATATATTTCATAGGTTAATACTGGTAAAGGGGAACATGTTGATATTGAAACATCATCACGAACCCCCAGTGGACAGATGATCAGTGTCTGTGCTGAAATTAAGCAACAAAATTCAGTTTATTTGCTTTGAGTGCATTAGTTATTCTTGGTGTAGGGGTATTTTGTTATTTAAAAAAATATATTTCTGATTTGGGCCAACATTTTTTATGAAAGCATCTGTTGCAAATGTGTATTCAAAATAGAAGTATAACATTCGGCAGCACATATTAAGTTGGTTAAAATGGGCTTTTATAGCATGAAAAAGAGCATAGTGTCTTCCTTACATAGATTCCCTATTGTTTTAAGGTCATTTTGTATACACCATATTTGTTGTTATAAGGTCAACTTCTAAGCAATAATAACTGTCCAATAATTGTCCCAAAGGTATGCATAACTACACTCGTACCACTGTGGAAGGCACATGCAGAACATATTTTTAGCCTTCTTGCAATTTAGCGTCGTGTTTACGGTAAGCAGCAGCTCAAGAACCATTCTTTACAGGGTGGTGACTGTGCTGCTGCTGTTGTTGTTGCTGTCTGTGCCCACAGGATTCTCTGAGTGCCCTCATGGTCATGCTCAGCTCTGTGCACCCATTCTTTATACGATGCATCAAGCCCAACCGCCACAAGGCAAGTACTTTGGCCTTGCGCCAGACGTGATACACCATTTTCCTTTGCAAATTACATCATCAGGCATGTTCTGTGCACTGCTGGATGAAGGCCTCTCCACACAGTTACCGTTCTCCATGCTCTACGATGCCACAATCCATCTCACTATTTCACTCGATCTGATCTCATCACCTTGTCTCTTTAGCCGTTTTCTCTCAGGCACGTTCCCTCCTTTTTGCTGCCATTCTCTCAAAAAAGCCATCATCTCTTCCAATGATATGTCATGCCCAAACCCACTTAATTTTCATGACGGTTAAGTCTCTCATTTGTGTTTGTTCAGAGTCCATGTTTCTGAACCATACATATGTATTAGCAGGTAATATGCATGAATGCCAGATGTCACTCCTAGATAGAGGAAACCACTGGCCTAAATGGAAAAACAGTGGATATATTATATATTAAAAAGCAGGACCAGCTGTTGGATCAAAATTAGTGAACCTATTTATTAAATGTTTATGCAGAAATGAAATACTTCAGCCATTTTTCTATCCAAAATGGCAGACATAAATTATGTGAAGAATTAAAGACCCGTTAGTCTCTTGTCACACATATACAGTGAGGGAAAAAAGTATTTGATCCCCTGCTGATTTTGTACGTTTGGCCACTGACAAAGAAATGATCAGTCTATATTTTTTAAGGTAGGTTTATTTGAACAGTGAGAGACAGAATAACAAAAAAATCCAGAAAAACGCATGTCAAAAATGTTATAAATTGATTTACATTTTAATGAGGGAAATAAGTATTTTACCCCCTCTCAATCATAAAGATTTCTGGCTCCCAGGTGTCTTTTATACAGGAAACGAGCTGAGATTAGGAGCACACTCTTAAAGGGAGTGCTCATAATCTCAGCTTGTTACCTGTATAAAAGACACCTGTCCACAGAAGCAATCAATCAATCAGATTCCAAACTCTCCACCATGGCCAAGACCAAAGAGCTCTCCAAGGATGTCAGGGACAAGATTGTAGACCTACACAAGGCTGGAATGGGCTACAAGACCATTGCCAATCAGCTTGGTGAGAAGGTGACAACAGTTGGTGCTATTATTCGCAAATGGAAGAAGCACAAAAGAACTGTCAATCTCCCTCGGCCTGTGGCTCCATGCAAGATCTCACCTCGTGGAGTTGCAATGATCATGAGAACGGTGAGGAATCAGCCCAGAACTACACGGGAAGATCTTGTCAATGATCTCAAGGCACCTGGGACCATAGTCACCAAGAAACCAATTGGTAACACACTACGCCGTGAAGGACTGAAATCCTGCAGCGCCCACAAGGTCCCCCTGCTCAAGAAAGCACATATACATGCCCGTCTGAAGTTTGCCAATGAACATCTGAATGATTCAGAGGACAACTGGGTGAAAGTGTTGTGGTCAGATGAGACCAAAATGGAGCTCTTTGGCATCAACTCAACTCGCCGTGTTTGGAGGAGGAAGAATGCTGCCTATGACCCCAAGAACACCATCCTCACCGTCAAACATGGAGGTGGAAACATGTTTTGGGGGTGTTTTTCTGCTAAGGGGACAGGACAACTTCACCGCATCAAAGGGACGATGGACGGGGCCATGTACCGTCAAATCTTGGGTGAGAACCTCCTTCCCTCAGCCAGGGCATTGAAAATGGGTCGTGGATGGGTATTCCAGCATGACAATGACCCAAAACACACGGCCAAGGCAACAAAGGAGTGACTCAAGAAGAAGCACATTAAGGTCCTGGAGTGGCCTAGCCAGTCTCCAGACCTTAATCCCATAGAAAATCTGTGGAGGGAGCTGAAGGTTCCAGTTGCCAAACGTCAGCCTCGAAACCTTAATAACTTGGAGAAGATCTGCAAAGAGGAGTGGGACAAAATCCTTCCTGAGATGTGTGCAAACCTGGTGGCCAACTACAAGAAACGTCTGACCTCTGTGATTGCCAACAAGGGTTTTGCCACCAAGTACTAAGTCATGTTTTGCAAAGGGGTCAAATACTTATTTCCCTCATTAAAATGCAAATCAATTCATAACATTTTTGACATGCGTTTTTCTGGATTTTTTGTCGTTATTCTGTCTCTCACTGTTCAAATAAAGCTACCATTAAAAATGATAGACTGATCATTTCTTTGTCAGTGGGTAAACATACAAAATCAGCAGAGGATCAAATACTTTTTTCCCTCACTGTATGTCAATGGTTCATGAACATTGTAGAGAATAGAATAATGGACAATCTAAAGTCAAAATAAGATTCTCTAATAGTCAAATTTACATAAAATGCCATTATGAATAGCTTATATAAGCTATGGAACAGTTCCACTGAGATTAGATTGTGTGCAAAGAGTAACAAAACATAAATCAGAATAGGAGCCAGCCAATTATATATGATTTCACTAAGGCTATTCACAGTGATATGAGAAGATATTTTCTCAAAATTTTATTTTAGAAATAAAGGCATATGAAGATAAATGATGAAATTATTAACCATCTCAGATTCACTGACAACAATCATTATAACAGCCGATGCTAATTATCTACGAAAAAATATTTAAGAATTTAAAGAAGGCTACAGAGTGGGGCTATACATAAACATGAGAAAAAAACAAAGTCGTATAGAATAGTTCTGAACAACACAAAACATTTTGTTATAGGGACACAACTGGAAAATACAACAAATACATGTAGGGTACATTTTTGGAGATGAACCGGGATCAAACTATTGAATAAAGACAATTTCAGAAGTACTGTACAGAAAATAAACACGCTTCCCTCAGGCCCATTTCTTCCTTGGTGAGTCTCCAGTGTCCATAACTCGGTGAGTCTCCAGTGTCCATAACTCGGTGAGTCTCCAGTGTCCATAACTCGGCGAGTCTCCAGTGTCCATAACTCGGCGAGTCTCCAGTGTCCATAACTCGGCGAGTCTCCAGTGTCCATAACTCGGCGAGTCTCCATTGTACATAACTCGGCGAGTCTCCAATGTCCATAACTCGGTGAGTCTCCAGTGTCCATAACTCGGTGAGTCTCCAGTGTCCATAACTCAGGGGTCCACAGGAGAAAGGGGATGGACTGGTTAGAGACTGAGTCGTATACTTAAAATAACCTTGATAATTTGTCACGGTGAAGTAAACAAATTCAGTGTGCTCTTTTCATGTCCCAATGCTAATCAGTACAGGAATGTTTACATTTCGTGGAATATTTTAAGGATCAATTGGTGTATCTTATCAGTGTTAGCATATGTGAATGAGATGGTCGGCCACCCTCTTTAATAAAGAGAAACCCCTTATTAATAGCTTCAATAGGTTAAATGGTATTATTTGGGTCTTTCGGTAAAGTAACGTAAATAGGTAAAAAAATATATATAACAAAAAACTACAACGTTTAGATCGCAACACAAGTTCCAGTGTCAGCAGCATGGGCGGAGGAGCTTATGTTAATGTGAGGGATTAAATAACGATGTGCCTCCGCATGTAGGGCGGAGAAGGTTATGTTGATGTGAGGGGTTAAAAAACTGGTGAGCAGCGTACGGTGCTAAAATGGAAACATTACAGCCAGTTATCACTTAAACTGGTTGATAACACCCTTCCAGTGATTGCTGAGTTTATACCAATCCTCTCGGTTGAAATTGTGTCTATGTCTGTATATATGGATGGCTTCATGAAATAATCTTTGTTGAAAGCCAGTGGGTTTGCAAAGTACTTTTGTATTAGAGAAATCAATTTCATGTGAGCCAACCGCATTTAAACAATGATCAGCCACGGCCGTGTTTCAGATCTGCCTTATGTTCACGGATGCGTTCTGAGACATGTCGCTTAGTTTCCCCAATGTAACTAAAGCCACAGGCACAGCTTAGTTTGTAGACGCCGGAGTATTGCATGTCAGGGATCACATCCTTCACAGATGGGATCAGATCACGAATTTTATGTACTATGTTAAATCGAACCTGGATCTTGTGTTTGCTCATGATTTTGGAAATCTTTTGGTGACCCCTGCGATGTATGGCAAGGTGATGGTTTTGATTGAGTCCTCAGATGGTTCTTGGTGTACGTGTTCCAGTTCACTGAATAGGTGACGATGGTCGGAAATACATCGAGCTCCATGGTGTAGAGTTTTGATAAGGGAATTCTTCTGGGATGGATGGTGGTGGGAGTTAGGTTTTAGGTAGGCATCTGTATGGGTTGCTTTCCTGTAGACAGCGTGGCCCATTGAGCCATCTGGTCTCTTTTCGATTAAAACATCCAAGAATGGTAGCTTGCTATCCTTTTCCACCTCCATGGTGAATTTGATGGCTGGGTGTATGGAATTGATGTGGTTGAGAAATCGGTTCAGAGCTGGTTGGCCATGTGGGCAGATGACGAACGTGTCATCTACGTACCTCTTCCACAAGGACGGACGTAGAGTAGATGATGGATGGCTTCTGTCTCAAATTTGTCCATGAAAACATTGGCTACAACCGGAGATAAGGGAGAACCCATTGGGGTGCCTTCAACTTGTTTGTAGAATGTTCCATTCCAGGTAAAGTAAGTGTTGGTGAGGCAGTGTCTCACCAGGGCCGGTACATCAGCATTCAGTCCTTGTTGGACCAAATCTTAAATGATTGCAATGGTGTCAGGCACAGGAACGTTGGTAAACAAAAAGACTACATCGGAACTAACGAGCAAATCACCTGGAGATAGTGAGATGTCCTTAAAGAGTATGTCCTTAATTAATGATACCAAGTGAGCTGAGTTAAGTACATCTGAGGCAGTCTTACCAGTGAATGGTTGTAAGGTCTCAGACAGAAATCGGGCCAGTTTGTAGGTGGGTGAGTCAATGGTGGAGACGATATGACGAAGGGGTGTACCTTTATGGATTTTTGTAAGCCATACAATCTGAGTGGTTTAGCAGCAGAGGGTTTTTAGGAAAACCGCTTGGTTTTTTCGATTAAAGATGTCAAATCAGTGATGATGTTGGTTTTCATAATGAGGCTGTTGGTGGGATTTATTTTTATTTTTGTATAGCTACCATCATCCTTACTGAGGTTGCTGTAGGTGTTTGAGCGTTTTTGAGGATTGCAGCGATTTCCGACCTTACCACGTCTGCAGTGATGTGTCCCAAACCCTTAAGGGCTACATCGACCTGGGCAATGATCTCATATCACATAAGCTCCTCCGCCCATGCTCCTGACACTGGAACTGCGCCCATTTTAAATCTTTATAAACAGTTTGCCTTTAGAGGCTGACCCCTCTTTTTTCTCCTGATGACAACCGCTTGTGTTGCGATCGAAACGTCGTAGTTTTTTGTTATATATTTTTAACCTATCTACGTGACTTTACCGAAAGATCCAAAGAATTTGAATTCCTGCAGTCATTAAAGCTTTAAGTCAAGGTTTAATGATACATATATAAAGATGATAGACGACGCATTGTTTGGCTCATGTTTGTCATGATTGTGGTACTTTCTGGAAACAGTTCACAATTGTTTGTTGCCAAGTTCCACGAACCTACGAATGCTATTTTTGCTAACTTCAAGAACATGCCTTTTTAATAAGTTTAGTGCTCCATAATACAGGTTTATTTGGGTTAGATCGTGTAAATATATAAAAGAGTTGTTAAAACCCACCACCACC